ATTACAACGCAGATAGCCCATTTAGTAACTTTAAGCTAAAAACAAACAAAAACTTAACAAGTCTTTGCAACTTTCATTCTCTTGCTGAAAGTACCTATACGACATGATTGTAAACAAAGATTTGTTTTGAATTTTGCGCAAAGCTACACTAGGGCCATCTGCGCTAGCCGTCCCTAATTTAGCAGTGTAAGACCAAAGGGAAGGCAGCTAGTCATCACCACCCACTTCCAACTCTTGGGCTACTCTTTTTACCAACGAATAGTGGGATTGACCGTCACATTATAACGACCCCACAGATGAAAAGGCGAGCATGTTTGGTGCGACGGGGATTCGAACCCGCGACCCTCAGATTACGAGTCGAGCTACCTAACCACCTGGCCATGCCGGGCCTGTAAACAAAGAACCTTTATTTTAATTAACATGGCACTGTATATTTATATGAAAGCTTCATAACGAAACGGTGAATATATTTAGGCTTACTAGTACTAGTCTTGCAGTTTTTTTACGCTTCTTTTTTCTTGAAGGAATGTTATGAGTCTATGTGAGCTAATCTCAGTCTATATATAATATAAGCATACTAAATCCTAAAAAGTTTTTTTTAATCAGACAAGAGATAGATTTCACAATTTAATCAAATTTTCCTTATTTTCTTTTTGAAAGCTTGAACAAGTAATCCACAGTAAGTGAGCTTAAGTTTAACGTTTTTTTAAAATTTTTTTTAAATATATATATCGCAATTTTTGTTCTCAGTTTCGGTAACATAAGGACTTCAACCCACGTTTAAAGAACAATTATTGTCTTTTCAGAATATTATAAATATTAAGCTTGAAACAGCCAAACGAAAAACTGTAAAAATATTTTAAACGAGTAAATTACTGTATTTACATACGCAAACAATCCTTCGTGCAATGTGGCATCGCTTCTCCAATAGCACCCTCCGAAAACGCGTTGATAAAAATCGAATTTTTAATCAAACAAAAACAATCTTGCGCTGTAACTTGCAATTAATGAAATTGAGCTTCTACATAGCATTTGCGCACGTACAATGTTTACGGCATGCACTATTAAAAGTTTTATTTAAAAGTATCCTTCTAGTCATTAAAAGTATAGGTGTAAGATCGTCTTTTTTAAAAAGTGGGTAGGCAATGGCTTAATATAGTATTTCAAATTCGATGACGAGGAGCCCACTTTAATATAAGTTTAACATAAGAGGAAATGTACAACGTTTCGACAAGGTTTTGTCATCATCAGGTCTCCAAGCATTGTTAATATAGTATTTGTTTCTGTGAGGTTCAAGAAAGTTTTAATTCCTATCAATAGATGGCAGGCCAATAACTTTAAACAAAATAGTGGTTCTATTGTGTACAATGTGCAACACTGATTTAATGATAATAAAAATAATAAAAACTATAAAAATGTAAAGTAAAGTAGCTGTAAGTATATTCAAGTTAAATACTGCGAAAATCTGATATGAAAAAATCGAGTTTGGCCACACAGGGGATCGCATATATTTTATACTAACTGTAAGCTTACATAACTTTAACCCTATTTGAATACATTTCGAGGGGCTGTCTTCTCTTAAAAGAGGGATAATAATGAAAACTGTAAATATTATTTTAAAAAAAACAACAGCATCCTTTTCGTCCACAACAAAACGTTTCTCTCTCTCTAGATTACAAGTTCTTAAGCATTCATATTAACTTGTGATATCGTTTTAATATCATTGACAGTTATGTTTCGCGTAAGCACTAAAGCTGTAACAATGTAGACTCCTCTCGAACAAGTACACATGGCGGGGTTAAATCTAAACAGAAATAAGATACTTCAGTCTGTGAGAGAAGTGTTTTAGTTGTAAACATTTGGTTTTGAGCTTAATATTTCTAATGTTTACGAATTGAACATTTCTGCCAATTTGTATTGACATTTTCTTTCTGGCCGTGCTGAAGGCCAGAACTTTAATAAACGACTACAAAACAAAATAATCGGGCGATAATGCTCAACCATATTGCCAAAGTAAAGCCACGTCTTCATCTAGCCAAACTTATATTTTAACTCCCGAAACCATGTATTATTAATACCACACGTGTCTTCCGCGTCAGTGGTTTCTGTTTGAGTTTAAAGTAATAGTCATTTAATGTTTTTAGGTGTGTTTGATTTGTTGAATGTTCTATTCTAACTACCAGTTAAAGAACATCTATTATAATATCGCTCCTCTTTTATGTCACAAATGTGCATTCATAAATATATATATATATATAGTATTTCGGAGCTTTTAAGACTTGTGAAATTAAAGAGCCTATCCATTGTTCGTTTTATAATTTTTTCCTTAGCTATTGTGGAATTCTCTGTGGAATTTCCTGTTTATATCTTCGGGCACTTTTTTAAGCAACATTTTAAAAATGTTTCTATTACCAATACGTTGTACTATCCATAATATTAGTACAAGCGTTTTATATGGTGAAGTTCCGTATCTATTTATCATTATTTTACAAATCTTAGTGATTTCATAATTACGCTCGATATGATGCCTGAAATATTAATTATCGCAATGAATATGTTTAATGATAATTTAAAATATTCCCAAACAAAAAATATATATTTTGTCTTACTTGTGTTGGCAAGTATTTTATATGAAATACCTTTTTTTTATCACGTAAAGAATAACCTAGTCACAATGTACACTCCTGGTTATACTTGCAAGGCCAGCAACATAAACTGGTTCTACTCTGAAGAAAATTTGTTCATACTCACGCTTTGCAAAGCAGGATACATAAGCTATCCATGGCACAGGTTGACCAGGTTGACGGCCTATCCAATAAAACTTGTACCACGTGACGTAGGTATGAGCGCATGCAAGCTTTCGAAACGCTGACACGCTGCTGTGGTAGTTCCGTCCGTTTTTGTGCCTTCTGTCCTAGTTTTTATAAAGTTTTATGTGTAACATAGAAAGTTTCATTAAGCATAGTATTGTGACTTGTGTATGAATACTCTTTCGGTGCTGATTATTACTTGTAAGTTATGTTCTTTGAGCCATGAGAAGCATAAGAAAAATCTTATACCAACGAGTCCATGCCAGTAGTATGATGAGTTTGACCGAAGCCGTGAGCTGTGAGTTAAATGTGGTTTCCACTCAGGCTAAAGAGTAAGATTCTAAAAACAATGCTATGGTGTCTGAATACATAGTTATTTAACGCTTCATAATGTCTTATTTTTGAAAGATTACTGCGTTTGAGCTTTAGACATTAATACAGCGTCCAAAAGTGTGTTTGGTAAAAGTCATGACATTGTTAATGGTTTTAAATTTTTCCTGATAGGATAACAACAAAAAGATGCAGTACGACTACGAGGGTAGAGCTGTATTTTCACAAAGAAATCGTACCAATTTAGGTAATGCACCTTTTATGTCATACTCTGACCAGCCTGAAGAAAATTCGTCCATGTTTACTTTTTGCTGCAGTTCGACATTTAGTTTTTCACCAGTACGTGAAAATGTCACATTTGATTATTGTAAAACCGTCCAAAAGAGTGAGAAACAAAAAAACAACATAACTTTCAAAGTGACCAAAAAGTTGGGAACATATCTAGAACCAAATGATGCAGTCCTGTCGAGGCCAAAAAAATGTTTTAAGAATTTAAATCATTCAGATATTTCTTTAAACAACTTCACTGAAGATACTTCTTGTGTATCTCCACTTGTTCAAGATTTAGAACAAATTGATAGCTCAAAGCTTGAACTGAAATGCCAGCATATACTACTTTCAAATACACCTGTAGAGGCTACACTTCCTTGTGCAGTAGAACTATATACTTCGTCTGAAGATAAAATGTCAAAAAACTCCAATAGTTTTTATTTTAATGGAAATTTTAAACATAGTTTTGCTCCCCTCAGCTTATTTTTCCATAGTCGGATGAGTGTTACCCATAGAAAATACAGTTTTTTACATATGCTCACAAGTCTTTTGTGCTTTTTGTCTGTGATTCTCTGGAACTGGTATCTTTTAGTATTGGAAAAGTTCCAGGTTAGAAACCTGTATCTTGTTATATATGTCTACAAAACTGTTTTGCCAATAATTTCAGCACTATTTCCTTGGAAAGGATTAAGAATATCAAAGCAATTGCTTATATACAGCTCATCAGGATCATATAAAAAGTGTAAATATTTTGACAGAACAAGATTTTTTTATTGTGGAAAAGGTCAACAGTGGATATGGTTTATTCTTCTTCTTGCTGCACATGGAATTGAAGCAGGTTTGTCTTCTATATGTTGTTTCAGTTAATTGTAAAATTTCTAATACAGAAAATTTGGATGGAGGATAAAAAGCTATTCTTAGTTTAGAAACATAAATACTTTTTGTATATTAATAGCGTTTCTTTATTTGGAAATAAACAAGATTTTTTCATAGAATAAATTAAAATTTCAAAATAGCCTTATTGTATAAGAACATAAAAAATATACTGCAACAGGCAAATATTACACTATTTGGACATTCCTCAACCAATTACAAAAATAACTTGAACCTTGTCACTCCACACTGTATGGTTTAGTCTAAGAAATATTTTGGGAAAATGGATTTTTCCACAGCTTTGTTCACTCTTTGAACAATTTAAGAAATTTGTTGTGAGATAAGCAGATTGCATAATAAGACCGTGTAAAGTACTGTTTTCATTTCACTCTCCTAATATAGGAATATTTTAGATATGTTTAAAAAATGTAGAGAAATTCAATCACAATTACATTTTTATTTAATTAGTATATAGTTCAAAGAGCAGCTAAATTTGTTACTTTTTCCATAATGAAAGTTTTTGAAATAAAGTGCTGAAACAGAGGTTTGGATAACCTGATTCTGGATGGTAAAGTTGCAAAACATTTGAACAAAGTTACGTCAGCAATAATAAGAGAAAACAGTCAGTTGTAACTGTAGGATTACTTAGCAATTTTTGACTCCTTACAGGTTTCATTAAACTTTTACTAAACAGTGATTTGTACTGATAAATGTAGCCTGGAGTTTTTCAAATAATTTTTGGATGAGTTTCTTAAAGTGAAAGGTGTTGTTTATACTGTGCTATTAATAAGATGTTTAGAAGGTTAATTGGTGATCCTAATGTGTGATGTTGACTTGAATGAGTTTTAGGAAAGATTTGGCAAACAAGAATTTTTATATTAAAGTAAAAGATGGTAGGCTTTCAAAAAAAAAATCCTTGAATGATCAGAAAACATTGTAATAACTAAGATTAAAAAATAATGAAGAAAATATAAGGGCTTAGGAAATCAGAATAAAACATTAAAGCATTAGTACTATTTAAAACAATTTATCTTTGAACAAAATATAGTAAGTCACTTGAATAATTTACTTTTTGATGGGCAGAAAAAATGTAAAGAAGGACTTAGTTCTTGTGTGATTTTTTTTTTCTTCTTTATTATTCACATCATATGAAACAGTAAGTTGTAAGAGTTTTGCTGGTGTTGTAGATTTCAGTCTTGGTATTCTATGACATTTATCTGTAGACAAAGGTAATGACAGGATTCTACAATGAAGCCTCTTAACTGTCTGCTATGCTCTAGGGCTTCATCTATCAAGTTTGGTAATCTGTTAGAAGTTTCCAGTTTCACAGTTTCCTGCTTAAACCATGTGGCATGTACACTCCTTGTTTAACCTTTTTTGTGTGTGTATTTTCACATAATTTTGATTAATGTTTGGGGTTAAACATTACTCTAGTAATTATGATTCATAGAAAACGGTGTGATGTAGACAATTCAAATTAAGAATCATATTCTCAATGTAGTACCATACAGCTTTGTATGCATGGTACTAATGTGCACGTATTTTGTCAGGGATAATTGATGTTTTAAGCAATTTTACTCTCTACAGTCAATCAGGAGAGAATTAATCAGCCCAGCTATCTTATTACTGGTCAAGTTAATACAACCAGTTTCATGATAGGTCAGCTGTGAAGAAAGAGAAGTGAAATGTGCAGACACACCTTGGTAATGCAATGGTAATGGACCTATAAACTTGCTCTACCACCTGAGCAACAAGGTCCAAGTATATAACTCTCCGCTTTGTTCATTACGGTAACTTCTGTTAATCTAGCACATACAAAGACATTATTTGCACAACCTATATTGTACATCTATTGCGCTTTGTATAAAATGAGATAGTCTGTGTATTATCACTGTGATAGGAAAATTTAGCACAGCAAAATTACATCATTGTAATTCAGTTCACACTGTACAATTTCAATAACTATTATTTATAGAAATGTGAAGGAATATGAGAAAAATGTGTTTATTTGTGATAATTTAAAAGTCTGCTACAAAAATTTGTTATTCGGTTTGAGCGGTTAAAAGGCTATTTTTTGCAGACTTTGATGATGGTGTAAGTTACTTTTTTTAAGTCAGGTGATGTATACAGAGTATTGATTATGTAGTTATACATCTATGCGAGTAGACATACTATCATGTTAGATTTATTTCGTTTGAGCTTTTATTCCATACACCAAGAACAGTTTAACTACGTGGAGAAAATGCAGTAATCTGGTGTGCGTGACTTTTACAGTGCCTCGGTGGGATCTTGTTATCATACCATATAATACGTACAAGCACTACCGTAGGAAGTAATTTTGGAGAAGTCAAGCCATTGCCATTTCTGGGGAGTAGGGGGCTGTGGGCATGCCCCCCAGAAATTGTTAGAAGACTTAATGCTAGGAGATTGAATCTTGGGCCGTTTTAATTGGAAATACTGCACACACAACGAAATGTATTGAATTAAAAGAAGCAAGTTTAATACATAAGTTGTAGCTGTACAAGCTATGAAAATGTGGTCAGGCCGTAGCCTGACTGGCCGAACACGCAAGTTGTTGCTAGGTTTGTGTGTGTGTGTGTGTGTGCGTGTCTGTGTATTATAGACCGGAATTAAACTGTGAAAAAGTGCAACAACTAACCCATCGCAGTACTTACTTCTTGGTAATTTACTTTAAATAAAGTTCATACAAGTGAGACGGAAGGGGCATTTTTTGACATTTAGTTGTGTGAACCACTTATCATTGAAGCATGATTCCTTGGCAACGAACTTGATCCTTTTTTACTTTTTTATTATTATTATACAAATTCTCATTTGCTGAGAATACTATTAACATAGTTGCACTTACTTATTAAAATATCTTTGCAATAAGTTTGTTTTGTTGTAGAACAAAGCCACATTGGACTATCTACTGTGTCCACCGCGGGGAATCGAACCCCGTATTTTAGCGTTTAAATCGGTAAACTTTCCGCTCTTACACCGCATTAAAAAGTTGTAAAGTTGGTGACGTTCCGGGGGTCTGTAGCGTGATATTACTATTATTTTGTAATGATAAAAAAACGTCACAGTGAAAGAAATGCACTTATTATGCATACATTTGTATGTTCACCAGTTTCAAGTGTTACATCAGCGAAAAAGAACCGGAACATACACGCCACAAGATTTTTACCATTAGAAACACAGTACGTAACATTTTGTAAGCATATATACATTCACTATATTAAAGAAATTGTGTAGAATAAAGATTTTTATAAATCACAAAATAAGAAACCCGATAAACCAAAAACTTTCGGGAAGCATGTAACTTTTGAAGAAACAAGTTCACCTTTCGAAAGTACTCGAGTTAACGAGTCTCTTATTTTGCAACTGTTAATATTTATTTGTTTTCTTGTAGAATGGGGGGGGGGATAATTCAGCAGCTGTCTTATATTTTCTATTGTGATTTTGGAATCCTTGTTTGTATATAGTTCTTATTTGTCCGCGAAAGAAATATAAATAATCATGATGATGCCGGGTTTATTTATTGACAGTATTACACAAGTTTCTCATTACTTCTTTAAAAAGTTACCATCGTAGTTGATAAGTTTACCAATTATTTATTCCGTCGGTCGTAACTCCGTTAGGCTTGTCTTGTGTAACTGATTTTTATGAAGAATCAGCGCAACCGTCCTTTAAATGGTGTGAATTTTTAGTGCCATTATAATTTTCTCGTGTTTCTAAGTAAACATGTTACGCTGTAGATATGATATATCTGGTTTTGACCAATGGCTTAGATAGTTTGTGACTATATGCAGTAACAACTACATTACATTCATATCTACTGCTAAACAAGTATCCGTTTCACTTTAGTTGGTTTAAATCGCTTGTTTTATAATTGATTTTCAGACCATTTCACATTGATATGTTAATATAAAATCCTTTACACGTGTATAACTATAAGAGACCTTGAGCGCTAAAATCGGCCACGTGAATATATAATTTAAATCATCTTTTAAACATTAATTCGTTTTATGTAGGTGTGCCTTAGCGGGAAGCGGATCTAATTCAACAAATAAGTAAGGGATGCCGCTTTGAATGGAATTCAAATTAATAGAAATACATATATTTATCTTAACTATCATATTATAAAAAAAAATGTGCAAAACGTGTGCTTTTGTTTGCTCAGCTCTCGTGACATTTTCTATTGAACTGATATATATATATATATATGTATATATATTCGCAAGTATGTTTGAATATTAAAATATATTTAGAAACAGTTGGGCACTGCAGTTGGACTGAGCAAGAAGTGCATTCCTTACGTTGAAAGTCGGTCTGTGTTCCCACTCGTTCTGGGCCGAAGATGGCCAAATCTCACCCAGCAGAAAGACGCCCTTTCAGGTTATTGTATACCGTACTCTGAAGAAGGGAAATGCCTGCGGCACTAGCAACCGCTTGACAGTTTTTGCCTTCGAACGCTTGGAGAGTGTACTCAGTCAAGCGGAAAGTTTTTATTTTGTCTTCTCGTCTCCTTGTTCGTTAGTTTGTTGTTGCCTGGAGGGTATTATAATTATGTCTGTAAGGAATTTGAACCAGTAACTGAGCTACTCCATTTAGCCTAAAGCACTTCTACAGCCGTTTCCCTCAACTATTTTTAAAGACTGGATTCTTTATTGAATCTTCACTTTAAAAAAGTTTTGTTTTGTTTGGTCTGTTGAAACTTAGTGAAAGACTTGAGTTTACTAGTTGCGATTTGATTGTTATTGAACAGTTCTGTTTTTGTATTATTGGTTTATTTTCGTTTATAATCATATAATTATACAAAACGTACATGAAATATTTCCTAAAGTCGAATTTTTTATGATTTTATTTGGGACCAACTTTTAATTTGATATGCAGTGTTAACCTATAAACTGACGTTTTCGGTAAATTGGTAACACGCATATATCGTACATAATGTCACTTAGC